ACCTCCCACAAACCACCCTTACAGTGCATTTTGGAGGGACTGCTATAGATGGAAGTGTTCCTAAGGCTAAATAGCTGCCACCAGGGGAAATAAAACCACAGTAAAGAAAGTAGAACAATTAATTACTAAGCAGATGCAAAATCAAATCAACCACCCCCAAAGTCAATCAAGGGATAGACAAAGAGTACAGAATATGATATTTAATATATAAAGAATGGATGAGGAAGAAAACTGAGGGGAAGAAAAAAGAACCTTTAGGTTGTGTTTGTAATACCATACTAAGTGAGTTAAGTGAGTTAAATTAGAGTGTTAGATACTACGGGAATTACCCTTGAACCTTTAGTAACCACAGATCTAAAGACTGCAAAGGCAATAAATACATACCTATTGATAATCACCCGAAATGTAAATGGTCTGAATGCACCAATCAAAAGACAAGAGTCACTGAATGAATAAAAAACAAAATCCATCTATATGCTGCCTACAAGTGACTCACTTCAAACCCAAAGACATACACAGACTGAAAGTGAAGATGGAAAAAGATATTTCATGTAACTATTAGGGAGTAAAAAGTAGTTGTTGCAGTACTTGTATCAGACAAAATAGACTTCAAAACAAAGAAAGTAACAAGAGACAAAGAAGGACATTACATAATGATGAAGGGGCCAGTTCAACAAGAGGATATAACTATTATAAATATCTATGCACCCAACACAGGATCACCTACATAAGTGATACAAATACTAATAGAATAAAAGGGGGAAATAGAATATAATGCATTCATTCTAGGAGATTTCAATACTCCACTCACTCCAAAGGACAGATCAACCAGACAGAAAATAAGTAAGGAGACAGAGGGACTGAACAATGTATTAGAACAAATGGACCTAACAGACATCTGCAGAACACTTCATCCAAAAGCAACAGGATACATTCTTCTCAAGTGCACATGGAACATTTTCAAGACCAGATCATATACTAGGCCACAAAAAGAGCCTCAGTAAATTCAAAAGGACTAAAATTGTACCAACCAGCTTCTCAGACCACAAAGGTATGAAATTAGAATAAATTACACAAAGAAAACCAAAAGCCCACAAACACGTGGAGGCTTAGTAACATGCTCCTAAATAACCAATGGATCAATGACCAAATAAAAACAGAGATCAAGCAATATATGGAAACAAATGACAACAACAATTGAACACCACAAAATCTGTGGGACACAGCAAAGGCTGTGCTAAGATGGAAGTATATAGCAATACAGGCCTACCTCAGGAAAGAAGAACAATCCCATATGAACATTCCAAACTTACAATTAACAAAACCAGAAAAAGAAGAACAAATGAAGCCCAAAGTCAGTGGAAAGAGGGACATATTAAAGACTAAAGCAGAAATAAATAAAATTGAGAAGAATGAAACAGTCAAAAGAATCAATGAAGCAGGTGCTGGTTCTTTGAGAAAGTAAACAAAATAGATAGACCCCTAGCCAGCCTTATCAAGAAAAAAAAGAGTCCACACATATAAACAGAATCAGATATAAGAAAGGAAAAATCACTACAGACACCACAGAAATACAAAGAACTATGAGAGAATACTATGAAAAATTATATGGTAACAAACTGCATAACCTAGAAGAAATGGACAACTTTCTAGAAAAATAAAACCTTCCAAGGCTGACCCAGGAAGAAATGGAAAATCTGAATAAACCAATTATCAGCAACAAAATTGAACTGGTAATCAAAAAACTACCTAAGAAGAAAACCTCTGGACCAGATGGTATCACTGCTGAATTTTATCAAACATTTAGTGAGGACCTAATACCCATCTTCCTTAAAGTTTTCCAAAAAGTAGAAGAGGAGGGAATACTTCCAAACTCATTCTATGTGGCCAACATCACTTTAATACCAAAACCAGGCAAAGACACCACAAAAAAAGAAAATTACAGACCAATATCCCTGATGAACACAGATGCAAAAATACTCAACAAAATATTAGCATACTGCATTCAAAAATACATCAAAAAGATCATCCATCATGATCAAGTAGGATTTATTGCAGGGATGCAAGGATGGTACAACATTCGAAAATCCATCAACATCATCCACCACATCAACAAAAAAGAAAGACAAAAACCACATGATCACCTCCAAAGATGCTGAAAAAGCATTCGACAAAATTCAACATACATTTATGATAAAAACTCTCAACAAAATGGGCATAGAGGGCAAATACCTCAACATAATAAAGGCCATATATGACAAACCGACAGCCAACATCATACTTAACAGCAAGAAGCTGAAAGTTTGTCCTTTAAGATCGGTAACAAGACAAGGATGCCGCTCTCCCCACTTTTATTCAACATACTTCTGGAGGTCATAGTCACGGCAATCAGACAACACAAAGAAATAAAAGGCATCCAGACTGGCAAGGAAGAAGTTAAACTGTCACTATTTGCAGATGACATGATATATATAATACATAAAAATCCCTAAGGAATCTACTCCAAATAAAACTACTAGATCTAATATCTGAATTCAGCAAAGTTGCAGGATACAAAATTAATACACAGAAATCTGTTGCATTCCTATACACTAACGATGAACTAGCAGAGATAAATCAGGAAAACAATTCCATTCACAGTTGCATCAAAAAGAATAAAATACCTAGGAATAAACCTAACCAAGGAAGTAAAACACCTATAGTCTGAAAAGTACAAGACATTCATGAGAAATTAAACGAGATACTAATAAATGGAAACACATCCTGTACTCATGGGTAGGAGGAATTAAATGTCAAAATGGCCATCCTGCCTAAAGCAATCTACAGATTCAATGCAATCTCTATCAAAATCCCAACAGTATTCTTCAACGAACTAGAGAGAATAGTTCTAAAATCCATATGGAACCACAAAAGACCCCGAATAGCCAAAGCAATCCTTAGAAAAAGGAATAAAGCAGGGGGAATTACACTCCCTGACATCAAGCTCTACTACAAAGCCACAGTAATCAAGACAATTTGGTACTGGCACCGGAACAGACCCATAGATAAATGGAACAGACTAGACAGCCCAGATATAAACCCAAGCATATATGGTCAATTAATATACAATAAAGGAGCCATGGATATAATACAATGGGGAAATGACAGCCTCTTCAACAGCTGGTGTTGGCAAAACTGGACAGCTACATGCAAAAGAATGAAACTGGATTATTGTCTAACCCCATATACAAAAGTAAACTCAAAATGGATCAAAGACTTGAATATAAGTCATGAATCTATAAAACTCTTAGAAGAAAACATAAGCAAAAATCTCTTGAATATAAACATGAGCAATTTTTTCCTGGTCACATCTCCTCAGGCAAGGGGAACAAAATCAAAAAATGAACAAATGGGACTTCATCAAGCTAAAAAGCTTCTGTACAGCAAAGGATACAATCAGCAGAACAAAAAGGTGTCCTACGGTATGGGAGAATATATTTGTATATGACATATCTGACAAGGGGTTAACATCCAAATATATATCAAGAACTCACATGCCTCAACACCCAAAAAGCAAATAAGCCAATTAAAAAATGGGTGGAGAATAGGAACAGACACTTCTCCAAAGAAGAAATTCAGATGGCCAACAGGCACATGAAAAGATGCTCCACATCACTAATTATCAGGGAAATGCAAATTAAAACCACAATGAGATATCACCTCACACCAGTTAGGATGGCGAACATAGAAAAGACTAGAACAACAAATGCTGGCGAGAATGCAGAGAAAGGGGATGCCTCCTACACTGCTGGTGGGAATGTAAACTAGTTCAACCATTGAGGAAAACAATATGGAGGTTCCTCAAAAAACTAAAAATACAAATACCATTTGACCTGGGAATTCCACTCCTAGGAAGTTACCCAAAGAAAACAACTTCTCAGATTCAAAAAGACATATGCACCCCTATGTTTATTGCAAAGCTATTTAAAGTAGCCAAGATATGGAAGCAACCTAAGTGTCCATCAGTTGATGAATGGATAAAGAAGAGGTGGTACATATACACAATGGAATACTATTTGGCCATAAGAAAGAAACAAATCCTACCATTTGCAGCAACATGGATAGAGCTAGAGGGTATTATGCTCAGTGAATTAAGTCAGGCAGAGAAAGACAAGTACCAAATATTTCCCTCATTTGTGGAGTATAGCAATGAAGCAAAACTGAAGGAACAAAACAGCATCAGACTCACAGACTCCAAGACTAGTGGTTACCAAAGGGGAGCGGTGGGGCAGGGTGGGAGTAGAGGGAGGGAGGGAGGGAGAAGGGGATTGTGGAGTATCATGATTGGTGTGTGTGGGGTCACAGGGAAGACAGTGTAGCTCAGAGAAGACAAATAGGGACTCTGTGGCATCTTACTACACTGAAGGACAGTGACTGCAATGGGGCATGGGGGGTGACTCGATAATAAGGGTGAATGTAGTAACCACATTGTTTTTCTTGTGAAACATTCATAAGTGTATATCAATGATACCTTAATAAAAAAAGCATTCTTTACAGGTACAGGTTTTTCATGTCAATTACACCTCAATAAAGTAGTTCTAAGAAACAAGTAACTGACCAAAAAAAAAAAAAAAGGCATTCTTTAAGAAAGAAAGTCAGCTTCAGGTGTCCTGGCAAATAAGGTAAATGAACATGGCACGTTTCTATATAATTACACATACATGTTTATTCTTTTTTTAGCTTTTAAATTTCACTATTTTTTCCTTAGGAACTTAAAAAATTTTTTCTATTGAGGTACATACAATAAAATGCACAAATCTTAGTGTACCGCTTGATGGATTTTGACACATGTATACACATGTAAACCTTCACCCCAATCAAGATATCAAGCGATCTCACTAATTCTTTCCCTTCACCTATTGCGCCCCCTCCTCCCATTCCTCCCATGCCCACCTCCAGTCTGTTCTCTGTGTTTGAGTCCACTAACATTCACCAGTATTTAACCAACCCTAGAGACATACCTTTGCAATGTACTGCAATGGCACCTTCGGCATTTTCACAAATATCCAGAAATTCTTTGACTATCGAATCTGTGGGGGTGCTGCCATCCGCAAAGAAAAGGTCATAGTGATCGAAACCAGCGTTCGTAAAGCGTTTGGCATCATACATCCTTTTATTCAGGCGAATAACAGTAGTGACGTTGTGAGTCTTAAAATATGGAATATAAGCCTCTGGAGAATGTTGGTGGTAACCTACACGAAGAAATTCACCAGATGAAAAAAGCAGGAAGAAAACAACAGATAACAATTCTACCTGCAACTGGGTGGAAAGAGAATCTGGCCTGGGGATTGAATACCCATTTGATTATACGTGTAAAAAAGTACACACAAAAGTTAAAGTCCAGGCAGAATAACATAATAAAATGACCCAGTATAGGTAAATCATCAACACAGTCAAGCTCAGTTTAAGCCTTCAGCCTCTTTCAAAAGAAACTACAGGATGGATATTTTTAATACCAAAACTGTACTTGTCATGTATTTTCTATTTTCACATACCACTTTCAAGCCTGGTTCTTGAGTGAGGACCACAGAAGGCAATAAATCTGTCTGGTATTATCCAATTTAAATCTCCATTTTCTGCTTTCTGCAAAGGGAAGACCAGCACAATTTGTTTTTAGATATAATTTCCTCTCCATATCCCTTTCTCAATACTGAGCATCTGAAGTACTTCAAATCCATTTGCTTTAGCACAAACGCTGTTTATAAAAGACCACAATTCAGAAGCTAAAGTTTAGCTTCCTCTCAGCATTCCCAGGAAATAATTAGTTAACTTTCTTTTAAGAGTTTCTCTGTGACGGCAGTCAGCCTTTGGAAAACAGAACTGCCTGCTGCTACCCAAAATATACTTAAGTACTTTGGTTATTTTATCTGAGTAAATCCTCAAATAATTGCTGTTAATTAATAAGAAAACAAACTTTTCTATTATGAGGGATCTAGAAACTTCCCGGCTTTCCCTGTTTCCCTGGCTTCCAATATGAGCAATCTTGACTCCTGCACTCAGAGGAAAAAAAAAAAATCTATTTAAGTTCCTGGCTTATAGACAGATATTTCCATAGACACCTTCCCATCATGTGGCTAGCTATTTATGAGTAATTTTATATTAAATTTATTTAATAAAAATTTTCACTAAGCCCACCAGGAAACCTGAAATTTCAAGTCTACTACAATCACCGTATGTCTCTAGCAAACAAACACGAATATAAACTGAAATTTAAAACACTTCCTGTTACTAAGTCTTTGGACTGCTGAAAGGTAAACACAATTCACAGTTAACAGAAATGGATACACACAGACTTAAGCAGGAAGCAGAAGGCACCTGAGAGTGAAGGAGAGAACAAGTGACAGAAACAAGATTAGCTTTGTAATCGCGGTGTGTACTGTGACACATGTGCAGGACACTAAGTAAGGAATAGGCTGAGGGGTGCTTGAACACCTACAGGCCAGGCAGGTAACACAGAACCTGTTTACTTGTCTTAATTATCAGCGAGGAGAATTGGTAAGCTGCGCTCCAGGCAACAAGGCCCACACAGGAATGAAGACATGTGTGTCCCTTGTTCCAACTTAAAAGAAAAACCAGAAATCTGGAGTTTTTAATGAGAACCTTGTGGTGAGATTTCATTGAGACATAGGCATCATAGATTCCTCCTGAATTCAGAGATGTTAAAACAAGATAAAATGGGCATCATGGAGTCAATGAAGGACACCAGTCCAAACTTTCTAAATACACTGTAGGAACTAACATAACTACCGATGGTCTGCGGCAACCTACACAGTTCCCTGTCTCCACACAATCTCACTGAAAGTAAACACCACTTGTGGGTGATGCTACTACTCCCCACAATGCCACAATTTCTTCATTAGTGAGCAGAAGGCAATTAGCACCAATATTCTTCCCTAGTAAGCATAAAGGGCAGCAATGTAAAGAATAGTTTATTTTAAATATTTAACTTTGTAAGAACAAGCACCAAAAAATGGTGTTTATAATTAATTATATTCAGCAGTTTAAGATGATAATGTTATACATACTGCCAAGGAGTAAAGATAGGGCTGGACCTAATGAACTGCACAGTATGCTTTTTATATCTTTGGTACATCCAAATAACATGGATCCTAACTCAACCCAATTCATCAGTGCAACAGTTCATTATACCTAAGAGTTTAAAAAAACAGTTACTTTAGAATTTGATTGTGAAAGAACAGTTATCTGAGGACTCAAGATACTGTGGCCTAAAGTCTATGGCACTCTTCATTATTAGAATATCTATTCAGGTAACTATAGCAGGATAACATGATACTACATGTATTGTCGGCCAAAAAGACCTTTAGCAGAGACAGCATCTGACTCATCTACTTGGAGGGTGGAATGGGAGAATCAAATTGCTTTTTCTAAAAACAGGAAAACCCCACTGCATTAAAAAATGTAGAGGACATCTGACTGCTTGGACACTTTCTCACTCTCTCTCTTTGGTATACATAGTTTGATAGGGCTGATCCGAGCACTCCAGCTCCTGGGATGGCCTGAGTATCCTCACCCACCCACCCCCAGGCATGCCAGGAACACAGCCTTGTTCAGGGCTAAGGACATGATCTATAAACTCTCTTTTCTGATGAATGGCCCTTTGGCTGGAGCCATAAACGCTTTTTTCTGATGAGTTTGCTGAGCAGGTAAAACAAGCTGCTGGAGACCACTATCTGGGGAGGGCTGACCTGGGAACAAAGCTTAATTAAGCTTTAGCCCAATTTCTGGCCGTTAAGTGTCTGAGTACTGGAATTGGTTATGCATTCAGTTATATCTGCTCCTGGACTTTTTATTTATGTAAGTCAATACATTTTCTTTTCTCATGTAAGCCATTTGTGTTTACTTTCTGTCATTTGCAACCAGAAGTGTGCTGACTCCACATAAGCAAAAGGTTATGATAAAACAGACATATTCCAGAGGTAGGTAAATGTATAATGACTATTTACCTCATCAGATCCTTTGGTAAGGGCATTACCAACATTACCTCATTTAATCACTACGGAAAGTCATCAATACTAAAAACCTGAAGAGAGCATTAAGGAGCACTCACACTCTCTGCAGAGATGCAGCAAATGCAGAAATCACCACCAAGAACTGGACTTCAGGAATGGGTAAGAGGATAAGGACTTGACTTTCCTACTCCATACACACCTAAACTCAACAAGGTTATTTCTGTAAGTAAAACATGAATTAAAAAGTTAAATGTGATATCCTTGAAAACTTACTTCATAATGTTCATATTCATCAAGGTTAAATGAGTTGAAATTAAGGAAGCCATAGTGCAGTGCCTAAAATCCAAAGGAAAGCTTTTAAGAACAAAGGTGCAAATAAAACAATTTCCAATTTCCTAATAAGAAACATCAGGAGGCACCCAAAGAAACATTATTATATTTAGATTATGTTCCACTGAATAGTTTTCAGAGGAGATGGGCTATGTCTTTTTAAATGCTTCCATTATCTGAAAAATAAGTCACAACAATATTTTAATGAGATTTGGTTATTTTTCTGCATCAACCATTCTAATCATGCAGAGCTAAATAATCAAGCCTTCCAGGTAACCCTACTAACTTATTAGATTAACACCACTCAGGCTTCAAATATAACGCACACCACATGGTCCCTAAACAAATAAAAAAGAGAAACCATAGGTTAGTTAACCCCAAACAAATCCCACATATTTCATAAATATCTTCACTGTGAAATTCTTCTGTACAGTCTTGAATTAAGGATTACTATTCCCTAAAGACAGCCCAGAAATCAATACTAATATTCAATATTGTGAGGGGGAAAATTTCTTTTCTCATTAAGAAAAAAATACATAAATTTTCTGTTCTTCTCTGCAGCGTCCCTCTGGGCTGCATTAAATGAAATAAGTAGAGCATCTATTTTCTAAGACATGGACGAGCTGGTGGCCTCTGAGATGTGTTCTTTCTCCCTGTTCACTGTGCCAGACAGTGTGGAAAAGCAAGAATTCTTGATCAACAAGGTATTCTTAGTTCAAAAGGGGTGACTCTGTAAACCCAGTTTTCAACACATGAACTATTGAAACATGAATGAAAAATAAGGCTACAATAACAAACAAAAAGCCCTGTTAAGAAAACATAGTTACTTAAGTTCTAATTCCAAGACCAAATCCATGACCAACTTTCTTTCTTTGAATTCGATACTCAATACATCTCATGATATTTGGACGAGAGATGTTCCTGCCACAATAAAATGTAGTTTCAGCCAATATCTACTCTCCTTTGGATTTCACAGAGATACTACTCAGAAGCAGCACTAAGATTAGGACATATTATGCTCGTGTTTAGTGCAGTGCTGAGCATAACTTTATAATATTCAAAATATTCAATAATATTCAAAATCAGTCACAAATAAAAAAAGCTTAAACTGAAAAAATCAGAAGCTGTTGACTCATGAATAAAATTGAATAGAGCATGAAAAGAACAATCTTTGGCCTATATAGCTCCTGCTAATTAGACTTTGGTTATAGTATCTGTTTAAAAAAAATAAGCCAAGACAAAAGTAGAAACTGCTATAGAACATTACTATACCAAGACAGTATACTATACTAATTAGTCCTATCATTTTAATTCATACAGTTTCTGTCAAAATTCTCAGAAAGCCACCATGTTTCATTACCCAAGAAAGTAAACCTGGGTTCTTCTGGCCTCTGAAAACCCAAATCACACAGAATTTGAGATGTTGTAGAAGGCTTCTGTGACCCATGAACTACTGATTCACCATTCACCTGTGCTCCCTGCCATTCTAGAAATATGCATGAGGGGACATCATAACCAGGGCCTGCTCCATCACCCCGCTCCAGGGGATCCCTTTCATTCAGGTGATGCGAAGGGTGTGTCCTGGAGTCAGGCTCCAAGCAGCCCTGGGTATGAACAGGGTGAGTTTTAAATCCCTTGGACCAAGCAGGAGGGGCTCACTGAGTAACAAACTAAGGGGCTATTTAAATCCTTCTGCTGAACTAGAAACTGAATGCCCTGAACATACAGTGCTTGATGTTACTGTTATGGAAACATCTGTTATAAAAATGATCGGTGGGTATAAGACCCATAAAGTACATAAATCAAAGAGAACATAGAAACCAGAAATCTACTTACTATTTATTTTTCTTTGAGATCATAACACTCAAAACCAAGCTGGCTCTAGAATCCAATCACTTAGTGACTGTCTCTTACTGTCCCCTGCTGTTCAAGTGGCTCCTTTCCCCAACTCATGCAGAGAAACACTCTGAGCAGAATACACTGTCTTCTGGTTTGGTGTTATTCTAACATCAATCAGTTTGGGGAAATGGGGTGCCTCTAACATCACACAGATCTTGGAAGACCTTTGGGGAAGAAGGCCTAGTCTTCCCAGGACTGAGATTTCTTTTTCCAACACCAGGCGCACCCTCTGGGCCACTCACCTTCTGCACCGCATGGAAACAGTCGAGAAGTGTAATGAAGAAACTGCAGCTCCCATAGGCGGCATCTCTGAAATCCCAAAAGGGACAAAGTCTCAGTTAATTTAATTATCTGCAGTATACTTTACCTCAACAAAAAGCTGACAAGAATTTAACATCAAACATGTACACAGGATCAGTCTTGAAAGAAAGAATTCTTGCCTTTTGCTCTGTATATGAAGAATATGACACTATTACAGATATCACTGCAGTTTCTACCTACTTCAGTAGATACTACTTTATGCCTGTGGATCAATAATGACCACTTCCTAAATTCATTTCTGTTTTTGATGGCTAAGCTTCAAAAGTGCCTTAAGGTCAACTAATCAATAGTATGTACCTCTCCCCACAGAAGGGCAAGCCATTTGAACTTCTTCAAACCAAAAAATACCACATCAAACTGTTACCAGGAAACAAAGACTGCTTTTTGATTCTGTATACTGTGTGTGTGTGCGTAAGTATGCACACGCGTTTGTCTCCATCCATGGAGAAAAAAAAATTGGGAAACAAATATTTGAAATACTAGGTCTGAGTTAAAGAGCACTTTGCTCCTGTCATTATATATCATTTTACAAGTTTTAATAATTTAACTAGATAACTTAATTCTGACTCTTAAAGGACAATAGTGCCCATAAAGCCAGAGAACCTAAGGACTCAACTACCTTTAGTAGAGCTCCTCTGCCCCCGGGAAAGCACTACAGCAGTTTACAGTTAAGTCCACCCAAAGATGCACGGCAACTAGCAGTGATCTCCCTATAAATCTCTCAGTATCAATTAAGATTTTGTTCATTAATGTAAGGCACTTCTCCACATACACCTATTTCTCCTCTTTGGCTACCTTGACCCATTACACACTGAAAACCTTTGGAATTAGACAAGATAAAAATTAATTTAACTGGTATCATTCTAGGCATGCCTATGTGAATGGTACCTGTGTGGAACCAGGCAGCCACTGAAGCCATCATTAATCACCTGCCCTGGTTAGGTTTTCACTGACAAGTTATAGTATTATAGTATTACTTACCTGAAAAATTAAACTGCCCTTGATAATTTTCAATTCTTACACAAACCTTAACAGACTCTTATACCAACATTAACTGCCAAGGGGGAAAAAGGCATCCTTTTTAGCTACACCATTTTAGATGACTGTCTGCGCTGGCTCGAACAGCTAAGGTATGTTAGCCTCATGAGAACTGGACACAAGGTCTTACAACATGCCTTTTTTGCTCCCTATTTTATTCTGAATTTAAAAGCTGTTCTAAGCTAAAAAGGGTGTCAATCCAGCCTAAAAGAGGCTTTGCCAGTAGCTGATTGGCCATTGATAGGACGGAGGAAAACATGGCCTGTGGCAGCTGTCAGGCCATGTCCCTGGGGGCATTGGCCTCACCTGCACCAAGATGCCCATTCTCGGGCTTCACCCTAGACCTCCATCAGAAGCACCAGGGTGGAGCCGACCAGCTTTGTTCTAACAGGCCCTTCAGGCAACTGTGACACGTGACACGTTTGAGAACCACTGACCTACAGAATCAATGTGAATACATACTATGCAGGAACACTTTTTTCATGGAGTAAAGAAACATTTTATAGAGAAGCTGAGGTAAGCCAATGAAGTAGTTTACCTGAACCAAAATAAAAATTACCAGTGGAAACAGGGAGAACTTTCAAATTACACCCCAATGCTTTTAACCTTGTCTTCTCAGCTTTAACTATCTTCTTAACCTGATCATTCTTTTCCAACCAAGTTAAAGGCATATCAATTCAGTCTTACGACTTGATGCATTTACTCAATGCATACTTTTTAAGAACCAACTGCAGGCCAAGCCCTGCTCCAGTCAGTGACGGTTCAACAAGCCTGGATCCAGGCTCAGCTAAAATTCAGTCTCAAACTCACACTATCTAAACAGACAACAAGAAGCTTTGTTTATTCACTCATGTTTATTTCATGAACACCTCCAACTTTAAACACACCCACACCTCCCCAACCCCAAGCACTCAGGTTAGACAGAAGAGCAGCTATGAATCTGGATGTTAAGTAGGCCCGTGTAGGGTGGGGGACCTTGTCACCAAGATCACCTAACAAACTTAGAAAAGAAGGCAAGACTCAGGGAAGGAGCACTACTCAGACACTGCAAAACAATGCCAAATACTAGTTTAGAAAAATAACAGCTTCCACAACACCTTGTATTTCCAATAGCCGAACATTGCAAATAACCCAGGCATCCAGCAAAAAGCCAACAAGCAAATAAGTTGTGGGACATTCACAGAATGGAACCAAAGCAGTAAGAGGACCAGCTCCCAACACAACACAGGCAAGTCTTGCAGACATTACGCAGGTGGGTTCCAACTCTCCAGAATGCATATACTGCACAGTCCCACTTACGATGTTCAAAGGCAAGGAAAATGGATCCACAGTGGCAGAAGTCACAGCAGTGGTTACTCGGGAAGTGGCTACTGATTGAAAAGAAGCTGAAGGGCCTTGTCAGGGGTGCTGGTGATGCTCTTGAGTCTCACCTGGATGGTAGCTACATATAAAAGTTTAATGTGCTGTAAGAACAGACCCATAGACCACTGGAACAGAATAGAGAGCCCAGATATAAACCCAAGCATCTATGATCAATTATTATACAATAAAGGAGCCATGGATATACAATCAGGAAATGACAGCTTTTTCACAGCTAGTGTTGGAAAACTGGACAGCTACATGTAAGAGAATGAAACCGGATCACTGTCTAGCCCCATATACAAAAGTAAACTCAAAATGGATCAAAGACCTCAATATAAGTCATGAAACAATAAAACTCATAGAAAAAAATATAGGCAAAAATCACTTGGACATAAACATGAGCAACATCTTGAACATATCTCCCCGGGCAAGGGAAACAAAAGCAAAAATGAACAAGTGGGACTATATCAAACTTAAGAGCTTCTGTACAGCAAAGGATACCATCAGTAGAACAAAAAGACATCCTACAGTATGGGAGAATATATTCATAAATGACGTATCTGGTAAAGGGTGGACATCCAAATTATATAAAGAGCTCATGCACCTCAACAAACAAAAAGCAAATAAGCCAATTAAAAAATGGGCATAGGATCCAAACAGACATTTCTCCGGAGAAGAAATTCAGATAGCCAACAGGCACACAAAAAGATGTTCTACATCGCTAATCATCAGAGAAATGCAAATCAAAACCACAATGAGATATCACCTCATACCAGTGAGGATGGCCAACATCCAAAAGACAAACAATAACAAATATTGCTGAGGTTGTGGAGAAAGGGGAACCCTCCTACACTGCTGGTGGGAATGTAACCAATTCAACCATTGTGGAAAGAAGTATGGAGGTTCCTCAAAAAGCTCAAAATAGACATACCATTTGACCCAGGAATTCCACATCCAGGAATTTACCCTAAGAATGCAGATTCCCAGTTTGAAAAAGACATATGCACCCCTATGTTTATCGCAGCACTATTTACAATAGCCAAGAAATGGAAGCAACCCAAGTGTCCATCAGTAGATGAATGGATAAAGAAGAGGTGGTACATACACACAAAATGGAATATTATTCAGCCATAAGAAAACAAATCCTACCATTTGCAACAACATGGATGGAGCTAGAGGGTATTATGCTCAGTGAAATAAGCCACACGAAGAAAGAGAAATACCAAATGATTTCACTCATCTGTGGAGTATAAGAGCAAAGGAAAAACTGAAGGAACAAAACAGCAGCAGAATCACAGAACCCAAGAAGGGACTAACAGGTACCAAAGGGAAAGGGACTGGGGAGGATGGGTGGGTAGGAAGGGATAAGGCCCCACACCTGACCCCCTCTGGGGCAAAGGGACAGGATGGCTGACACAGATGCTCAGGGCAGCACAGCATTCTGAAATCTCCCCATCCAGTGCCCTCGCCACCAATGTGCTCTGTCCTTCAGAGACAGGCCAGCACATGTCAGGTGGAGTTTGTTGATCTGTCCATCTGCGGAGTGTGTAATGGGCATGGCCGTGGAGCAGGCACTGCATGGATGGTGTACAGGCTGGAACAGGGAACAAAATCTCCAGGGCTCCTGTAAGCAGCAGCCTGGGGTCCTGGGAGCATGGAGTAACTGTGTGAATAACTGCTCGGTTATAATTGTGAGA